CTGTTTGTTCTGTTCAGGGGAGGCAAAACAAGTTTCCGACGGTGGGAGGGCTGTGGTTAGGGTTTGGTGGTTTGGGTTTTTTTTTTTTCAGTCGTTCTTGTTGTTTTCAGCTCAGCTTTTACCAGATCCCTCGCCCTTAACGCCGACTGAAATGGTGCAGTTCTTGCAGGGCGCTGAAAGGGTTTAACTAATCCTCATTCCTCCAGAAATGACCCACGTGAACTTTAATATTCTCCCCAGCTGGCTGGTTGGCCAGACCGCTCCGTTGCAGGGCCCTGGCCAAACAAATCCCAGAGAGCTGGTGCCTTTAAGGAGAGGACCTTAACGTCTTTAATTTTTAAGCAAAGAGCTAAAGACGTGTCAAAAGAAGAGATAACTGCAGGGAGTTAACAACACCGGCTCTTTCTTCTGGGAAAGCTGCTCGCTCATATCTGGTATTTTGTGCTGTTTGTGTAAACGTGGCGAATAGGAGCTGAAGAAAGCTCTGTCAGGCTGGGACAGCTGCTGGGGATCTCGGAGGCCGGGCTCTTGCCTTCAGTCACCGGCAGTGATCGGTGGCGTGCAGCGCTGCGGCACAGAAATCCCTGTTTGGAAGAAGCTGATCCAAACAGAAAAGAAAAAGGAGAGGGAAGGGGAAAGAAAAAAGGAAATTACCAGGGGCAGATGCCTTTTTATCTCAGTCCGTTTGGTTTACCCCGAGGAAAGCTTCTCACGGTCATATCTTCCCTCCCAGGTACTCCCTTCCCCAAGAACTTCCTCCCGGTGGTGAAGAAGATTCTCTCCAGGCTCTTCCGGGTCTTTGTCCACGTCTACATCCACCACTTCGACAGGATCACCCAGATGGGGTCGGAAGCCCACGTGAACACCTGCTACAAGCACTTTTACTACTTCGTGAAAGAGTTCAATCTCATAGACACCAAGGAGCTGGAACCGCTGGTGAGTGTCGGGGTGGGCTCAGGGCACCCGGTGGGCTGTCGGGGGCCGCAGCCAGCGCAGAAGGGCTGGGGCGGGGGCAGGGGAGTCACAGAGATAAATAGAACCAGAGTCATTAAGGTTGGAAAAGACCTCTGAGATCATCTAGTCCAACCGTCTGCCTGACACCACTGTGACCACTAAACCTTGTCCCAAAGTGACACATCTGAACGTTTTTTGAACACCTCCGGGCATGGTGACTTCACCACAGAATCACAGAGTTACTGAGGCTGGCAAAGCCCTCTGAGATC